ATGGATAATTTTCCAAACGAGGTCGGGGATTTGATCACTGTTCTACAGTGGAATTGTCGAAGTCTTATTCCGAAATTAGATTCGTTCAAGTATTTAGTCCATAACAATAATTGCGATGCATTTGCCCTCTGTGAAACATGGCTTTCTTCAGAAATTGATCTCCCTTCTTTTGATTTTAACATTATTCGATTGGATCGTGAGGATTCACGTGGAGGAGGGGTACTTTTGGGGATCAAAAAGTGCCATTCCTTCTATAGAGTGAATCTTCCCGAATTCCCCGGTATTGAAGTTGTCGCATGTCAGGCTACCATTAAAGGTAAGAGCCTTTGTATTGCTTCTGTATATATTGCTCCTAGAGTCTCTGTTAATCGCAAACAACTTTTCGACATATGTGCGGTACTTCCCGCTCCATGGTTGATCATGGGAGATTTTAACTCCCACGGTACAGGCTGGGGGGAGCTGTACGATGATAACCGTTCTACTTTGATTTATGATCTCTGCGACAACTTCAACATGACAATACTTAACAATGGAGAAGTAACACGTTTGGCTGGTCCATCCTCGAATGGTAGCAGATTAGACCTCACCTTTTGCTCCAATTCACTATCGTTGGATTGCACTTGGCATGTAATCCAGGATCCGCACGGTAGTGATCATCTGCCGATCAAAATTTCGATTGCCAGTGGGTTCAACTCGTCAGAATCCGTTAACGTCGCGTATGATCTAACCCGTAACATTGATTGGACTAAGTTCCAATCCGCGATAGACGATACTGTATCGTCAGTGGAAGAGCTTCCGCCGTTGGAGGAATATAATTTCGTCTCTAATCTCATCGTCGACAGCGCACTTCAAGCTCAAACACGACCGGTGCCGCGATCGTCTATTCGTAAGAAAACACCATCGCTCTGGTGGGATCAACAATGCACGGAGGTTTACCGTAAAAAGTCCGACGCGTTTAAACTTTTTCGGAAACGCGGAACACGCGAGCATTTCGACGCATACACATCTCTTGAACGCGAACTCAAGAGCCTCATCAAGGCCAAAAAACGGGGTTACTGGCGGCAGTTTGTAGACGGATTGTCGCGCGAAACGTCTATGAATACGCTTTGGAGTACGGCGCGAAGAATGCGTAACCGGTCTACTAACAACGAAAGCGAGGAATGCTCGGATCAATGGATTCTTAAATTCGCGCGAAAAGTGTGTCCGGATTCCGTGCCGTCGCAGTTGATTCCTCGCGAAAACGCGAATTCGGTAGACGAAATCAGTCAGCCTTTTTCAATGGTGGAACTTTCACTCGCTCTCCTTTCGTGTGGCAATTCTGCCCCGGGATCTGATAGAATCAAGTTCAACTTGCTGAAAAACCTCCCAGACGTCGCTAAGAGGCGCATGTTGAACTTGTACAATCAGTTCTTGGAGCTCAATATTGTTCCCGACGATTGGAGACGAGTAAGGGTGATAGCCATTAAAAAGCCTGATAAACCCGCGTCAGATCACAATTCGTATCGGCCCATCGCGATGCTGTCGTGTATTCGGAAATTGATGGAGAAAATGATCCTTTTTCGCCTCGACAAATGGGTTGAGACGAACCACCTTCTTTCAGATACTCAATTTGGTTTCCGTAGGGGTAAGGGAACGAACGACTGTCTCGCGTTGCTTTCCTCGGAAATTCAGTTAGCTTTTGCTAAGAAAGAGCAAATGGCTTCTGTGTTCTTGGATATCAAGGGGGCTTTTGATTCAGTATCCGTTGAAGTTCTTTCAGAGAAACTCCACATTTGTGGATTGTCTCCATTAATTAATAATTTTTTGTACAATTTGCTGTCAGAAAAACATATGAGCTTTTCTCATGGAAACTCTACAGCTTTTCGATTTAGCTACATGGGTCTCCCCCAAGGCTCATGTTTAAGCCCCCTTTTGTACAATTTCTACGTTAGAGAAATTGACAATTGTCTTAGTGACAATTGCACGTTGAGACAACTTGCAGATGATGGCGTAGTGTCTATCACAGGGCCAAAAGAGGTTGACCTGCAAAGACCCTTACAGGATACATTAGACAATTTGTCTACTTGGGCTATCCAGCTAGGTATCGAATTCTCCACGGAGAAAACTGAGTTGGTCGTTTTTTCTAGGAAGCATAGCCCAGCACAACCAAAGCTTCAACTTTTGGGTAAACCGATCACTCATTCCATGTCTTTTAAATATCTCGGGGTCTGGTTCGATTCCAAATGCACCTGGAGATCCCACATTGAGTATCTGAGACGAAAATGCCAACTAAGGATCAATTTCCTTCGATCAATTACCGGAACGTGGTGGGGAGCCCATCCACAAGATCTTCTGACGTTGTACCGGACAACGATTTTATCGGTTTTAGAGTACGGTAGTTTTTGCTTCCAGTCGGCAGCTAAAACGCACATCATCAAGCTGGAACGGATCCAGTATCGTTGTCTTCGTATCGCGTTAGGATGCATGCACTCGACTCATACTATGAGTCTCGAAGTGCTGGCGGGCATGTTGCCACTATCCGTCCGTTTTTCAGAGTTATCTCTGAGGCTCCTCACCCGTTGTGAAGTAATGAACCCACTGGTGATCGAAAACTTTGAGAAGCTTCTGGAGCTAAATCCTCAAACATGTTTTATGACATTGTACTACCTATATTTAACACAGGATGTCAGCCCTTCAAGAAATATTCCCAATCGTGTAGTCCTCTCCGATTTCGGCAATTCAGTGAATTTTGATTTATCTATGACGCAGGCAATCCGCGGAATTCCAGAGCATCATCGTCCTATGATTGCTCCGTCATTATACGCTGCAAAGTTTGGCCATGTTGATTCTGCAAGAACGTTTTTCACAGATGGATCTCTAATAGAGGAGTCCGCTGGTTTTGGTGTATTTAATGAATTTCATAGCGCCTCTCGAAAACTTGAAGCTCCTTGTTCTGTGTATGTGGCTGAACTGGCAGCAATTCACTACACTTTGGAAACTATTGCTTCACTTCTTCCACACCACTACTTTATTTTTACGGATAGTCTCAGTTCTGTCGAGGCTATCCGTTCCATTAGGCCGGTAAAGCACTTCTCGTATTTTCTCTTGAAAATACGAGAACTGCTTAGTACTTTATCCGTGCGCTCTTTCATCATCACCTTCGCGTGGGTCCCTTCGCATTGCTCAATTTTGGGCAATGAGAAGGCGGATTCACTTGCGAAGGTGGGCACTATGGAAGGCGACATTTATGATCGACAGATCGCCTATAGTGAATTTTTCTCTATTTATCGTCAGCAGTCGCTCGTTAGCTGGCAACATCAATGGAGTGAAGGGAGCTTGGGACGATGGCTACATTCAATTATCCCTAAGGTGTCGAAGTTTGCATGGTTCAAAGGGTTGGACTTGAGTCGAGACTTCATACGCGTGATGTCTCATCTCATGTCCAATCACTATTGTCTAAACGCTCACTTGTTCCGTGTGGGGTTGGGAGACAGCAATCTCTGTGAATGTGGACAAGGTTACCAGGACGCTGATCACATCCTTTGGTCTTGTGCGGAGTATCGTGGAGTCAGATCACATTTTTGTGATTCCCTTCGGGCTCGAGGTAGACAACCTAATGTTCCAGTTCGGGATATTTTGGCTAGACGCGATCTGGAGTTTATGAAACTCATATATGTTTACTTTAAGGATATTAACCTTAGATTGTAAGTTTAATTAACCTTGTGTTTAGCTTGTATTTTGTACGTGTGGGTTTTTTTTTCAATGTTTGTTTTCAAGATGAATAGAAATAATTTCATGCTTTAGGATTAATTAAATAGTTGTATCGTAAACCACATTTCAAACCTCCTTCTTCCCTTTTCCCATCCAAAATATTGTAAATCTCCACTAACCTCGAGACAACCGCGAGTACTCGGTCCAGTTCCTTTAACTTTAAATTTAAGACAGTAATAATGTATAACGCAAAGGATAACTCGGCTCTGTAAAGTTTATTCGATTGAGCCTGTACAAATAAAGTAATTATAAAAAAAAAAAGGTCGTAATCATCTCAGAATCCAATGAAGCTCAATTTGCGACTTGCGAGTCAATTATTTCGAATCAGCAACTATGTTCACTTTGGTTAATCGACAATTCCATATGAAAAGCAGTTACTAGCATCAAATGGCACCAAGATATTCTTTTGCAACAATGCTTCAATACCTTTGCAATGTCAATTGGTCAATTGGTATTTGGTATTTAACAGGCAGATTTAAAGCAAAGTCACATTTATGTTGCTTATATAAAGTTGGTAATATGCCATGAAATAATGCTTGCAGCTTTTTTTGGGATGGAAACGTAGCTATTTTCATTGTCAACAGTGCGCATTGGACCATATGTCTCGAGAAGGTGTTGGCTTGAAACTGGCGTGGATCAGCACACCTTCCGGGTTCTCGACTCACCATTTAATAGCCGAACGTACACTTAGGAATTCATGATGTTACCAACCAACATGTTTTACTGTTAAACTTTTCGCTTACAATTCTTTAATCGCCTTGAATTGAAATCAAGTGTCATTCCATTAACAAACGATCCACTTCACGCACCAAAAATTGAACCAGCGCCAATACGGAATTTAATCACAAAATGGTTGCGCAGCACCACATATGAGTCACTATAGCTACATACCTACATCACTGCGGATGCCGATGCGATGCTCTGGCATAAATACGGAAAAGAAGAATTTCACGAAATTCAATACCATCCGCATAATAAATAATTGTCAGCTGGCTTTGTGTGACCAAGTGAATACTGGTCGATCGGAGCTCACACGTTGGTATTGCAGGTGTGGTGGGGTAGGGTAGGGTTGTTGATTTTCAATTCGAGAGCCAGCACTTTGCAGCGTATGGATAAACACTCACACACGCATACTGTACGACCTACCTCCGTCTGCGTATCGGTTGATAAGTTTTATTTCATCCATTTTCCACCGGAGTTTTCCGCATTCTCACATTTTTTTGTGTGCTTTCCGCTTTTTTCCCTCACAGTTAACGGTTCGCAACGAGAAGCCTCCAAACAACAGCCCCAGCAAACGACCACGAAGGACGCAGCGAGCCAAGTAAATCTTCCCGGCAGCAGTAGGAATAGCAACGTCGATGCCACAGACGCCACCCGGACCGGACCGTACTTTGATCTGTCGGCGTCGAAAAACGTAACCGCCCTGCTGGGGAAAACGGCGTATCTCAACTGCAGAGTGAAAAATTTAGGCAACAAAACGGTAAGTCCGGATTTGCCAATTGGCAATAGTTCACGAGAGTGGTAAACTGGTTTTTTTTTCCTCCTAACAAGGGTAATGGATGGGAAGAGAGATCCCTACGGTAACGGTACAGCGGCGTTGGATAGAAAACATGGAAAAATGAAACGATTGCATCGTTTTGAGGAGCGAAAAAAAATTGGATATCAGTATGCAAACAGAATCAGCACTGGTGCATGTCTGAGTTTGGCTGGCATTGCACTGGGTGTGTCGTTGGAGAGGAATCCAATAGGGACACTCAGGGTAAAATTGATTGATTTAAATCGAACCGCTATTGAGTTTGATTCAATTTTACATTAAATTGCCGAATGTTGCCAGTTGCAATCTAAATCATAAACATTCAAACAGAATCTATTAACAGTACAGCTAATAGCAACACATTTTTTTCCTTAAGGTATTGTGAGTTACATTGTTTATATTCTTGTACCTCGTCTCGTAATTATGTTTAAAATGTTTATTCTAATTATGTATCGTAAATTTGTATATGTTGCCATCGACTGGAATAGATTATGAGGTTACAAAATGATCTAAGAATGATTTATTGTACAATAATTGAGATCTACAAATTTGACGAATATTATAGTTAAATAAGTAAAGAAGTAGTGAATGTAGAATATTGAATGTAGAAATGTTATAAAATGTATTATTTTATTGAAACCTTTGAAAATGTGTGCTAATTTTGCGCTACAAAGCACTGACACGAAGTTTTCATATGCATTTAAAGTGCATCTGGTATTAAATTAAATTTGGATAATGCAGAATTTTTACAGATAAGCGTCAGCTTTAACTGAAATTCGCTTTATATTTATTGAAATTTATTTTAGCTTCGAGTTTTCAGCCTATAGGCTCAGTAAAAAGTCGTATCAGTTAGTAGTCTTTTACTTAGTGAGCGACTTTTTTACTATCAGTGATGCATCGGTATAACCCTATACTCCCCTTCGATTAGAACATGATTACCCGACAAGGAATCGCTTTTGGGAGAAATTTGTTGTGATTTATCAGCAAAAAATGTAAAAAAAAAATTCGGTAACCTAGTTTTTCAATTACTCGAGGACGATTTGTCACTTTTTACGTTTCAGTTTTCTAATACTACTGGTAAGGGCTCATGCAGGAAACATTAACCATCCATCCGCTCCAACCCTCTTTCCACTAGGTACGTTTTTTCTACACAGCAAAAAAAAAATTTTGATACCACATCAAAGTAGATGCACTTCAATCGTGTCGAAAATATGGGGTAATAATATTACTTGCCAAAAAGGACAAAATTATCATTAATACAGTACATGAAATGACACTACACTGCTTCTGCATTTGTTTATTTTTGTGGCCATACAAATGACATAAGATTTTCGACACGATCGAAGTGCATCCTCTTGGATGTAATATTAAAATTTATTTTTTGCTATGTATGCTTGTCACAGAATCTTACATCATAAAGCGTGTTTTTTTAGTAACTGTATCGCCCCTTATCTTGTTAGTTCACCGATTATAAACGAGTGGTTTTAACACTTTTTCATGTATTAAGTAATAATTGTCTCATGTCATGTTAAAATAATGACAGCAAATTGTTCACAAAGTGTCCGATGTAGAAGGATGTGATGAATATCACTCTCTCGTCCCTATATAGCCGGGACAATCAAATAATGTTTAAGATAGAAATTCAACACAATCAGGCAATAGACTGCCCTTCATCACATATTTGTTCGGTATGGAAAAATTTGTCTAAATGAATTATCTTCATAACAACAAGTCAAAAACTGTCGTGATGTGATTCGTACCGTTGGCGAATTTAATCTCGTTTTTGTCACCACCGACGAGTCAAAGGCCTCTTGCATCTAGGCGAAATCGTCCGCAGTGTAAATTATTATTTTATGTCTGTTTGTGCTTGACTGTAAATGGTTCACAGCAAAACAATAATTTTGATATCACATAATGATAGTGTGTAATATTACTTGCCAACATGGGCAACATTATCGTTAATACGGTGCATGAACTGACATTACGCTGCTTTTACTGCATTTGTTTATTTTTGTGGCCATACAAATTACATGAGATTTTCGACATGATTGCAGTGCATCCTCATGAATGTAATATTAAATTTTATTGGTTGCTGTGTGCTGTGTGCTGTGTGTAATGTGTTTTTGTAGGCCATTTTTAATCAATTTATTATAAAAGGAAATCAGAAAATAAAGAACATTCTCTTTCCCTAGTCAACCCTTCAAGGCGGCATGTTGCCTCCTGGAGGACTTAAAGTAATTAGTCGTTCATAATTTAATCCGTTTGAAGAAACTTTCTCATAAGACGTGTGTGAGGTACACAACATAGGACATAACTGCTGGACGAATCATATGGTGCCGTGACCAGGATTTAGTGGACGTCTTTGAAATTAAGCAACCCTGCGGAATGACTGGCTGCAAGCTACCCGATGTTGCTACATCGTCATCAATTCGAGAAAATATGTAAAACGGTGGCAGCGACTACATGGTGAATATCCTATTCCTATACCCAGGCATGGAAAATCTTTTACATTTACCTCTAACTTTTTCCATCAAAAGAATTCCGTAAAATTATGTTTTTAGCTTTTGTAGAGTTTAATATTTTATTTTATTAATAACTCAAATCTGTACCTATTATGCATGACAAACTAGAGCGAGCACAAGTTGTTATTATTTTTTAGTATATGTAATTTACATTCACTGAAAAACAATGGTGGGTTCTGTTCGATCTGGTTCATCATGCATAAGAGATACAGATTTGAGCTATGCACAAAAGTTGTATACATCATTTTACGGAATTCTGTTGATGAAAAAAGGCAAAGGCAAATGAATGTAAATGAATGCACGAAATTAATGTAAATGATTTGCCATGCCTGCCTATACCTACTTGTGTTATCCTATTGCTTTAATCAGTTCAGTTATCCGCCCAACGTCGACGTAAACTAAATCAGGAGCCCAGTCTTCCGTCATCGATTCAAACTATCAATGATTTAGAGCCAACTTCACTCGCTACATACTATTCTCCAGGGAATTCAAGCTTTGCCCTTGGGCAAGTCAGGCCAGAGTTGTCGTCAGAACCCTTCGGTAGAACTAGTGCACAGCATAGTTCTCTAAATTGAATGATGCTATTCCAAAAAAAATCTTTGCCTCTTCTAATACGCCTAACCATAACGTTTTTGGAACAAGAGACACGAGGTCGTCGTTACTTCTATCAATATCATCGCTAAAGCACAAAACCGAAGTTCGCTAGTGGGACTTTTTTATCAATCTATATTTTGAAACTTATATTTGAATATTGTTTGTTCTCGTTTATTTTTTTATTCTTCCGGAACATGTGAATTTCCCCCAGTTATTCCAGATCCACTTCCTGAAGGCTCCAATTCTTTCTCGTATGTGCTGGCTTCCGTAGCATGTTCGGAACAGAAGTTCAATTGATTTTCTGACTGGAGTGGATCGTCGGAAGAATGTTCGTTCCGGTGGATGGTCAGCATTCTCAACGTCTTCCAAATACTCTGTATTAACGTATCTATAAACATAAACATGTTTCAAATGGTTTAATTCGAAGAAATAAGCTTCTCCATTCATCCATGTTCCATACGTAAACAAACAACAACAATTCTATTGACGAATCGGCATAGCCAGATAAATGAGGAGGAGAAGACTTTTCAATGACTTTTCATTTACGTCGCTAGTGAATGGGACTGAAAAAAAGGTATACGGCATTTTCCGATTTTTGTCTTCATAGTCAATAATGGGTTACGCGGCTTCATCGGCAAACCAGCGTCGATGATTAATTTTGCACCATCATCTTTAAATCACCGGCAAACAACAATCAATAAATAATCTGATGTCATCAGCATTAACAATAACGCCATTTTGAGTTATCCTGAACATAATTGGATTCCACAAACCTGATAGATAAGATCAGACCATCTAAACACTGTTGATTTCAGATCAACTACTGGATCACAACATATTGCTTGCAGCCTTAATCTAGGACAGTGATTCTTGTTCTTATTTTTCCTTTATTTGACGTCGGTCTCTGTTCCACAATCTAGTGCCAATCACCAACGGACATCGATTGCCATCCACTGACGGAAATCGAATGTGCAGCAACGCAGCTTCAACACCTGCGTAGGATATCGCACCCATTAAACACACATGGGCCGGGACCAACGGCTTAACTTCCCTTCCGAAGGAAGACGTGACCAGAGAATTTGATGCCTCAGAAAAATCCCAGCGACCTCGGCTGGGATTAAACCCAGACCCATTGGGGTGAGATAGCAGTCACGCTTGCCACTACACCACCGTCGCAGGACAGTATATTTTTCCTTTGTTCGGGACATCAAACTACTGCGACCAGTAATTTGATCTATTGTAGTATATCCCGTGTCCTTAGTTTAGTGCATGTCGTATTACTTCATCACTATTGAAAAATAATGAAGTATTCGATTTTTCTACAGTTGCCACTCTTGCATTTATCACAAGGATCCGACTCCAATTGAAAGGTCCCGCTATTTATACCCTTCGGAGTGTTGAAACGCCCTCCTAAGGCGCGCCCCTTTGTCAGTCAAAATTGGATTCCTTAGCAACAAAATTAAGGTATGACACCGATAATGACCATGCATCAGAACCCTAGTCTTAACCACTTCAAACTAGGGAACAAAGAATAGAAGATTAGGAATCACATAGATAAAGACAACACTGAAAATAAAATTTCGTTTATACAACGAAATCGCTCGTTTGTTCTACGAATTTATTCGTTGTTTTCTACAACGAAATGGATTTGTACATTGTATGAAGCTATTTTCGTTAGAACTGACATACTCGCTATCGCTACACCCAACCAGCGGTCCACAAGTTTTGGTTGTGGAAACCGAAAAATGTGGAGTGTGTTAGTGAGGATGGGTAAAAATAACTTCATCATTAGAAGGAATAAATATGACAAAAATTAAAAATAGGCTTCAG